GGCGGCCGCGCGACGATCCGCATGCTCGAGTCGCTCGTCCGCGTCGCGCAGGCGCACGCGCGGCTCATGCACCGCGACGTCGCGTCGACGCAGGACGCCGTCGTCGCCGTGCTGCTCGTGGACAAGAGCATGATGGAGACCGCGGTCTTCGCGGCCGTCGCGGAGCCCATCGCCGACCTCGCGACGACCGACGACTCCGACGCGTACTACGTCTTCCAGCAGGCCGCCGTCCTCGACGCGCTCGGGCTCGAGCCGGCGGACGGCGACGCGCTCGTGCGGAGCGGGGGCGAAAGTGGGGGCGAGGGCAGCCCGGGGTAAAGCTGTCGATGTTTGACCGCGTGGGCAGCCCACTCGATGTGACGGAGCCCGCCGGGCTAAAAACTAAAAAAAGCAACTGGACTGATTCCTCGAAAAAGCAACTCAAACAATCAGGCTGCGAGCAGCCCTTTTGCAGCGTCGATGGACGAAATTCTCGTCTTCTCCAGCCCGTAGCTCGACGCAGATGCAGAGTTGCGCAACGATCCCCGCGGCTGCGAGGACCGGAACCCTGTTGCGGACACATTCCCCGCGGGATGTCACTCCCGAGGATTGCGCCGCATCGCGCGCGGGGCGTCCCAAGGGGTCGGAAGAGGGTTTTCGGCGTCCCCCGCACCCTTTTCGACCGTGTTCGAGCGCACGGAGCGTCGGGAATCGTTCGTCTATGTACCGCGGGCGTCCCATTTGATCCGCTCGGCCATCGACGTCGAAAACATCGACCGCCAACGCGCGCATAGAAACGTGGCGCGGCAGCCCAACCGGCCCCCACGTCCAGAAACGCGGTCTGGGCCGACACCACCGCCCGAGCCCCGTCCCCAGTATGTGTCCGGTGGGATCGAGTACATCTCCTACTGCGGAGGGCCACCCCACGGTGCCGATCTCGGCCGTTTCGTCGTCCCCATGGAGGCCCGGAACGCCGACTTCACGGCGTCGGCCGCTGCAGTAGGTGATGTGCTGAATCCGCCTCAATGGCCCAAAGAACCCGTCCCACGCAATCACCTACTGCAGAGAGACACCTTCACCACTGCGGACTCGGCCACGCTCGGAGCGCGTCCATCGCGTGTAATTGCTTCAATAATCGCAACGATGCAGCTCCTGAGCGGTTGCTTTTGTTATTTTCTAGCCCGGCGGGGAGATTTTCATCCGGGCCCGAGACGCGCGGCTGTGTTGACATCGAAGCCGACTGCACTGGCAGCGAGGGGCAGCCCACGATGAGACGGAGATTTGCACCCGAGGCGCGCGGCTGCCAGCTCGAGTGCCTCACCGTTCGACGCCGGTCTGAGAAATCCTCGATGCGATGAGAGCGCCCTG